TCACACGATATTATCACAAAGGTCAACAAAAAAAAAAAAATTTCAGTTAAAAAATGCACTTAATTTTAGGGCACAAAAAAGCAATACATTACCCATTTTTTTTTTTAACTATAAAAAATGAGGTTGCCCTGAATAAACAGATATCCAATATTTCAAACCTTGAATTTGCATGCCCTTGTGAAATGGCGACTAACTTTAGTACCCTATATTTTCTATAGGTGATACTTTTAAAGCCCCTTATAGGTCATCAGTTTAGTGTTACAGAGAAGGTCTGGTGCTAGAATTATTGCTTTCATTCTGGTGTGCATGGCGATATGTAATGTGTATCCAGGGGCGGACTGACAACTCATGGGGCCCCCGGGCAATAGGGGATCATGGGGCCCCTGTGTCCTTGTCCACACTCAAACCACACCCAAAAAAGCCTATGAAAGGTACCAGGGACATATCATGGGGCCCCCTACTGACCCCAGGCCCTCGGGCAGTGCCCGAGTTCCCCAATGGTCAGTTCGCCCTTGCGTGTATCGCAGTTGTTGTTTTCATGCGTAGGCGCCCCGGTGTGTGCTTTTACGTTTGTGCGTGCATATTGTGGGGGTGGGGCTCAAAATTTGGGGGGAGGGGGTATGTGCTTGGATGTACCTTTTTAACTTTTTACAATGTAAAACATTTTTTTTAACTCAACTTTTAATTTTTATCAGATAGGAGACAAAAAGTCCCCTATGTGATGATTTTTGGTGACAGGTTCTCTTTATTGAGATATCCGGGGTCTAAAAAACCCTGGATGTCTCTCCTGTACTCCACTGGATGTAATGCAGTGCACATCACACCGCATTATTCTTTTCCGGCCTCGATGCGGACCCATTCAACAGAGACACAGAAGTGACATCATAACGCCACTATCGGGTCAGGACAAGAAAGGGAGGGGAGCGAGTGTCCGCTCTCCTCCCTCCACTCTACCCACTGGCACTCCCTGAACAGGTCCCGGGCCCACTGATTGGTAAGCAGAGCCCAGGAGACAGCGGGCTGGATGGTGATTTGTGAACAGGGCGGGCAGCAGAGGAGGCTGGAGCTGTAGGGGGCTGTGTGGAGCAGTTGGCGGTAGTGCTGCTGCCTGAATGCTTCCACCTGACAAGTGAGCCCTGCTGCTTGCCCGCAGGAGGGCTAAAGGTTAAAAGAAACTACCTACCTGGCGCCCAGAACTACATGTCCTGGGCATCGGGTGATAAAAATCGAACATCCCTGGTGTATAGACTATTATTTATAATATGTAACTGGTTAGTGACTTAAGAAACTGATAATTATTTAATACTTGTGCTAAAACATTTGAGGACTTAAAAAGCAACTGTTCATCAAAACTACACTCTCTTGTTGATATGAAAACAGAATGTTTGAGCTTTTTAACTTTTGGACCCTGATCTATCATGTCACTAGCACTCATGACTTGATGGGATAAAGAAAATATTTTGCCATCCCAAAGCAGCCTCTTTTACTGAAAATACAGTAGTTAGAAGAGAACTGCCATTGTGGTTTACCTCATAAAGTAGGCACCATAACAAATATTTTTTCTTTCTTCCATGCAGCCTTTAACATTGTAACACTGTAAGCCTTTAACAGCCTCTATACATTGTAGAGAACATATGGTCTGGCTGCCTTAAATGGGCACCACCAACACATTTAACTTACTATGGTGATGGGCAGGTCTTAGGAATCCAAACAGTTTACAGGAATAACAGATTTCCATATTATGCATAAAACAATAGCTATGGCAGTATAACTGCATACATGCAGATAAGTTCCAACATTAAATATTTAGATGGTTAGATTGTGTTATCCTACAGTAAGACAAACTGAATAGTGTCACTTTCCTCAGCACCTAATGCATGCATATATTCTTAGCTTGTGAACTTTAGAATACAGGTTTATTAGTTAGTGAATGAAAAGAAGAGGGTGTTTTATGAGTTAATACATGGGTTCCAATAGGTTCATGTAAAATCAGATTTATACTTGTTTGCATCCCAAAAATGCGGATGCCAAGGTTTGAAATGCCATATTTATGCCACATTCTGTTTAATCACTGTTGTTCCTGTCTTTTGTAATTTGTTCAAAAGCTTAAACTGGCCATTAATTTGTGCACTTTTCACAGGTTGTATTGCCAAATCATTGCAAGAAAAGCAACGGATCTTTGAAATACAAAAAAAATATTAGCTCTTGTGATGAAACTATATTGGATTTGCAAAAATATAATACAGAAAACAGTGAAAGTATTACTAGGTAAATGTGATTAGTATTATGTGTAATTAGAGTTGCTGTACAGACAAAATACTGAAAATTTGGTATAATATAGTAGTGACTTAAGGATCAGTTCTTTCAGAGCTAATATTCAGTGTTTGGCAGTTTCTGGAGTGTTACTTCTCTCAAAGTTATATTTGCCTGTTAGAAACTTTTAGTGAAATCTGTAGCCATTTTTATTTGGGGGGGGGGGGGGGGGGGGGGGGGCGCTTTCCGCAGCTTTTTATTTATATTATGGCGAATGTAACAGGAGTGGGAAAATATATGTTGTAGCATGAGGGGTGGTTTAAAGGTGAGCAGATAGTTGCAATGAGATTTTTCATTGCAGCCCCTAAGAAATATAACAAGCCTCGCGGTGCACTGATCATTATACATGTTAAATACATTAGATATTTTGTGTGAATTAAATGAAAAATATATTTGTTTCTGTTCAGTGCTGCTTTTAAACATGTCTTTTGTTTTCCCAAATAGGAAAAAAAAAATATTTTATGCTTGCTTGGAGGGTGATGTCAAACATTAAAACTGTTGTAAACCTCAGACATGAAATATCAACAAAGCATATCCCTCTGTAGCGTGTACTTGTCTCACTCCAGAGCATGTGTCATTTCTGTCTTTTGCTTCATACCTCTGCTATCAACATGAATCACTTCTGATGAGTTTTCCTGACACCCAGAGAAAAATGGTGACAGGGGAGGGCACAGCCTGTGATTGACAGCCTCACCTCTGTTCCTGTGCTGTGTGAAGGGGGGGGGGGTGTCCCTTCCCTGAACTTCGCACTCAGAGCTTCCCTCACTGAGCTTTGCAGTGTGTAATTTCAGCTCTCTGCCCACTTTTAGTTCGAGCTCTCAGACAAGCTATGTCAATTCAGCATTTTGAATGAATGTAGAGAAATGAAGACTGAAGATAAACAAGTACAAAATATGAAGAAGGACTTGTTTCATCTCTGTGTATCACCAGGGGCCAGTCACTTCACTGGGTATTTGTGTACAACCACTTAAATTCTGTTCCTCAGTTCCTGCTGTTTCAGACCACTGCACAGTATTTTTGACATGCCACCATAGTAAAAGTGGCATTGCTAAGCCCAGACATATCTTTTTACAGGTGCCAAATTGCTTGAGTTTGCAGCTACTGTCCGGCTTGCCTCACTGGTGGCTGTCAGGAATGGACTTGCCAGTGGTGGTGGGACTCACCTGCCTTGTGAGCTGCAGTACCAGGGGTGGCCAGCGGGTGCTCTCAGCAATCAGAGGCTCACTCCTGCAATGAGCCATCACCTGAGGCTGATTACAGCAGGTGTATTTAAGGAATGGCCAGGCCTGTGATCAGGGCCTTGGTGTATGTTTCCCATGAGCCCCTGTACCTGCATCCTGTCTGCTTCCTGCCTGATCCTGATTCTGCTTTAATCCTGACTCTGCATGAACTCTGCCTGTCCTGACCTCGGCTATTCCTGACTACGCTTCCGCCTGCTCCTTGTACCTTGCCTGCCCGTTTGCTACCTGCCCGATTACGTTTAGTATTGTTCTTATTGTTATCTGTTGGAGGTTTTGGTTGCACTGTGTTTATGTTTAGTCTTGCACTGCGTTTATGTATTGTTTAGTCTTTAATAAATTGTATTGTTTATACTATACCTGGAGCCTGTGTTTCCCTGTGTCAGTCCACACATTTCTGGTCATACCCGGATCCCTAACAGAACACCAAGGCCATTCCTGACCAGAAGTGGCTGCACAGGGAAGCCATCTTGGCTTATTGTTGCTGGGAAGGATGCATCTTGATGAGGTGGTGAATTTGTCTCTGCTAGTCTTTGATGGCAGAGATTATGCTTATCAGACTCTGAAGGAGTATACCAGGGATCAACTACTAGAATGCATAAGGATCGCTCATTGCCTAGTAGATCAGGGCACAGAGTTCTCTGAGGTGCAACCATTGATTCAGGTTTGTGCAGAGTTGGCTTAATCTGGTACCCCCGAATGCAAGGATGAATTTTTGCCGCCATTTAGTGACGACCAGGTAGAGTCCCTGATTTGGTTATTGGAGGATGATGTGGATTACTTCTTGGAGCGTTATTCTGCATGTTCACAACAGGTGCTAAGAGATTGTATAAACGCAGTGCAGTCTTTGACCAGACAGGCTTTGTGTAAGCTGAGCTTTGTTCAACCCATACTGCAGACATGGTCAGACTTGTTGCACCCAGCCTCAGTCAGCTTGCAACGTCATTCCTCTGCTCAAGGCACTCTTCCTGCATCCCCGACAGCACCCCCAGTGACGGCCCAGTATACTCTGCTAACTACCACATATCAGTCCCCTGCTCCCACTCGCTGCACCTATCCTATCTTTGCCCTGTAAAGAAGTCCTCTGTAGCAACTGCTCCCTCCTTTGTTCCATCCCTCAGCTCTTCTCTGCCTACAGCTGCTCTATCCACTTACAAACCTGCGCTTACTTCCTGCGCTCCAGTAACTAAAACCAGGAAAAAGCGAAAATTCTTTCCAACCAATACCATCCTGCCAGTATCCAAACCGGTCAGCCTGCCATCTGAGAACCCGCCTTCCGTGGTTCAGCCTGATACCCTGATGCCCGATGACCCAGTGTACCCTACCCAGCTTGATGTGTCTACGCAGCCTGATGGTCCTATTATGCCAGATGACTCGGTGCCCCGCTGTCGAGCCAGACGATCCAATGCCTGATGACCCGGTGCCCACTGTCGAGCCAGATGACCCGATGCCTGATGACCCGGTTCCCGCTGTCGTGCCTGGTGACCTGATGCCCGCTGTCGAGCTAGATGACCCAGTGCCCGCTGTCGAACCAGATGACCCGGTACCCGCTGTCGAGCCAGATGACCTGATGCCAGATGACCCGATGCCCGCTGTTGAGCCAGACGATCCAATGCCTGATGACCCGGTGCCCGCTGTCGAACCAGATGACCCGGTACCCGCTGTCGAGCCAGATGACCTGATGCCAGATGACCCGATGCCCGCTGTCGAGCCAGATGACCCGGTGCCCACTGTCGAGCCAGATGACCCGATGCCTGATGACCTGTCGTGCCTGGGGATCCGATGCCCGCTGTCGAGCCAGATGACCCGGTGCCCGCTGTCGAACCAGACGATCCAATGCCTGATGACCCGGTGCCCGCTGTCTTGCCAGATAACTCGGTGCCCGCTGTCATGCCAGTTGACTCGGAGCCCGCTGTTGTGCCTGCTGACTCGGTGCCCGCTGTCTTGCCAGATGACTCGGTGCCCGCTGTCTTGCCAGATGACTCGGAGCCCGCTGTCCTTCCAGTTGACTCGGTGCCCGCTGTCGTGTCAGTTGACCCGGAGCCCGCTGTCGTGCCAGATGACTTGGTGCCCGCTGTCTTGCCAGATGACTCGGTGCCCATGATCTTGCCAGATGACTCGGGGCCCACGGTCTTGCCAGATGACTCGGTGCCCGCTGTCTTGCCGGATGATTCGGTGCCCGCTGTCGTGCCAGATGACTCGTACCCGCTGTCGTGCCAGATGACTCGGTGCCCGCTGTCCTGCCAGATGACTCGGTGCCCGCTGTCGAGCTTGGTGACCCAGTGCCCGCGGTTCTGCCAGATGACTCAGTGCCCGCTGTCCTGCCAGATGACTCGGTGTGCCCCGCTGTCGAGCTTGGTGACCCAGTGCCCGCGGTTCTGCCAGATGACTCGGTGCCCGCTGCTCCGCCTGATGGCCCGGTGCCCCGCTGCCTTGCCTGCTGCTCCACCTGATGGTCCGGTGTCCACTGCTCCGCCTGATGGCCCGGTGCCCGGTGCTCCGCCTGATGGCCCGGTGCTCGCTGCTCTGCCTGATGGCTCGGGCCCGCTGCCTTGCCTGCTGCCCCACCTGCTGGCCTGGTGCCCGCTGCTCCGCCTGATGGCCCGGTGCCCGCTGCTCCGCCTGATGGCCCGGTGCCCGCTGCTCCGCCTGATGGCCCGGTACCCGCTGCTCCGCCTGATGGCCCGGTGCCCACTGCCTTGCCTGCTGCTGCTCCGCCTGATGGCACTGTGCCCGCTGCTCCACCTGATGGCCCGGTGCCCGCTGCCTTGCCCGCTGCTCCGCCTGATGGCCCGGTGCCCGCTGCTCCGCCTAATGGCCCAGTGCCCGCTGCCTTGCCTGCTGCCCAGCCTGACGTGCCTCTGCCTGCTGCCCCGCCTGATGTGCCTCTGCCTGCTGTCCCGCCTGCCGTGCCTCTTCCTGCTGCCCAGCCTGACGTGCCTCTGCCTGCTGCCCAGCCTGACGTGCCTCTGCCTGCTGCCCAGCCTGACGTACCAGCTCCTGATGCCCAGCCTGCTTCTGAAAATCCTGTGTCCAGCAATCTGCCTTCCTGCAGTCTCCTATAAAAAGATAGGCCTATCAGCAGGAGACCCAGCCAATCGCTTAATTCCGGCAGTGGGATGTCCAGCCAGTTGCCGGACCCAGGCGGTGGAACATTTGGGTCATTATGGACTGTTTGGAGCGTCCTTAGGCTGCTCCTTGAGGGGGGGGGGGTACTGTCAGGAATGGACTTGTCAGTGGTGGTGAGACTCACCTGCCTTGTGGGCTGCAGTACCAGGGCTGGCCAGCGGGTGCTCTCAGCAACGAGAGGCTCACTCCTGCAATGAGCCATCACCTGAGGCTGATTACAGCAGGTGTATTTAACCACTTGCCTACCAGGCACTTATACCCCCTTCCTTACCAGGCCAATTTTCAGCTTTCAGCGCTGCCGCACTTTGATTGACAATTGCGCGGTCATGCAACATTGTACCCATATGAAATTTTGATCATTTTTTTCTCACAAATAGAGCTTTCTTTTGGTGGTATTTAACCGCCACTGGGCGCTTTACTTTTTGCGCTATAAATTAAAAAAAAGTGCAAAAAATTTGAAAAAAAAAAAAAAGTTTATTTGTTTCTTTTATAAAATTTTTCAAACAGGTATTTTTTCTCCTTCACTGATTTGCGTTGATGAGGCGGCACTGATGGGCACTGATAGGCGGCACTGATGGGCACTGATAGGCAGCACTAAAGGGCACTGATAGGCAGTACTAATGAGGTGGCACGGATAGGCGGCACTGATAGACAGCACTAATTAGGGGTCACGGATAGGCGGCACTGATATGCAGCACTGATAGGCGGCACTGATAGGTGACACTGATGATGGGTACTGATAGACGGCACTGACTGGCATCACTTCTGGGCACTGACTGGCGGCACTGACTGGCACAACCCCTGGGCACTGACTGGTGGCACTGACTGGCAGCACTGGTGGGTGGCACTGGTGGGTGGCACTGGTGGACAGCACTGGTGGGTGGGCACAGGTGGGTGGCACTGGTGGGCACAGGTGGGTGGCGCTGGTGGGCACAGGTGGGTGGGCACAGGTGGGTGGCACTGCTGGGCACATGTAGGTGGCACTGCTGGGCACAGGTAGGTGGCACTGCAGAGTGGCACAGGTGGGGGCACTGCTGGGCACAGGTGGGGGCACTGCTGGGCACAGGTGGGGGCACCGCTGGGAATGGGTGGGCGGGGCTAGTGGGCGCACAGCTGATCGGAACTTGCGGGGGTCACTGCTGGGCACCGATCATCAGGGCACTGATCATCAGTGCCCTGATGATCGGTGCCGATCCCCGCTCTGACAACTGCCGGTTCTCGGCAGTACTTTCCTCACGATCTGACAGCGTGAGGAAAGTGCAGCCGAGAACCGGCACTTGCATTTTCCTGTGATCAGCGTGTCATTGGACACCGCTGATCACGTGGTAAAAGGCCGGTGGGATCGGCCTTTCACCACATCTCGTGATCAGCTGTGTCCGTAGGACACAGCGATCACGGAGATCGCCGGGTGCGCGCCCCCTGGGGCGCGCAGGAGAGCGCGTTCTGGGAGGACGTCATATGACGTCCACTCAGAACTGGCCGGCCGCGGTGAAGCCGTCATTCGGCTATGCGCGGTCGGCAAGTGGTTAAGGAATGGCCAGGCCTGTGATCAGGGCCTTGGTGTATGTTTCCCATGAGCCCCTGTACCTGCATCCTGTCTGCTTCCTGCCTGATCCTGATTCTGCTTTAATCCTGACTCTGCATGAACTCTGCCTGTCCTGACCTCGGCTATTCCTGACTACGCTTCCGCCTGCTCCTTGTACCTTGCCTGCCCGTTTGCTACTGACCCGGCCTGCCCGACTACGTTTAGTATTGTTCTTATTGTTATCTGTTGGAGGTTTGGTTGCACTGTGTTTATGTTTAGTCTTGCACTGCGTTTATGTATTGTTTAGTCTTTAATAAATTGTATTGTTTATACTATACCTGGAGCCTGTGTTTCCCTGTGTCAGTCCACACATTTCTGGTCATACCCGGATCCCTAACAGTTGCACAGTACTTCAAGAGTATTTGTATTTATGGTCATTGCAAGGTTGTGAAACAAAGTTCATTTCATTTAGAGATCCAGCATAGAATAGATTAAAGGAATTCAGAAACTTCCCCTGCAGCTTTTGAAGTAAGTGGTACGTCACAACGTCCCAAAATGCAAAATCACATAGGAAGTTTTGGATTACTTCCCTTCAGATTTTCGTGGACTCTGATAACAAGGTCTAAGTAGGTAGAAAATCTTGCCACTAACATAAACACCATGTTTGGTCATTTCATGGCTGGCAGTGTGGCAAATCTTTACTCTGCCTACAGCAACAGTTGCCATTAAGGTGCTGAAAAGTGTCTAAGGGTTTTACAACAGTAGCAAACACCCCTGGTTTATGGCATTGTTAAACAAGACCCCATTCCTCCACATTCAAGCTGTTCTAATACTACTCTAAAACAGAACAGAAGGTCTTTGCTTATTGGTTCTTCACAGCAACTCCACAAAATTTCCTTTATTGGACGGTCTGTATAAGGGGACATTCAAATCATTAATTTTATGACTTTGGACTCACATCTGGACTCACTAGTTTATGATATACAGTACAGCATATTAAATAAAGCCTTTAGCCTGAAAGTATTCCACAATTTTAAAGTTACTCTGCTATGGGAAATGTATGGAGGCTGACATTAATGCCCCTCTTTTGAAAATGCTAGTTGCTTAGATGTTCCTGGCTACAACACCTTTGAGTCAAGTAAGAGACCTGGAACAAGCAAAACTCCTTATCTCTAAACTTGTTTTAGGTCTTAGATTCAAAGGAATCGAAGCTAAAATATCAACATGACAGCCAGAGAATTAAAAGGAGAGATGAGCAATAGAAGCCTCCAAAATATTCTCTTGAGTCACTTTAGGTTTGTTGTCACTGAAATATATAGGCCAAACTATTCCATAATAGTTCAGCAACTAATGCAGAACTGGCTCCGTTTGGCCCACAGCGCTATTATTCTATAGGTTCTTAAATATTAATGATAGACGATATACACATAGCTTGAAATGATCAGTTGCTTACAAAAAAAATTCTCCCATACATAATTGTATACATTAAAGGTCTGCCTATTACTGCATTTCAACAATATTATTAGAGTTGCATACAGTTTGTTTTGCTTGTTTATTTTGTTTATCATTGATTCTTCCTTTTACAATTCTGTTTCAGCAATATTGTGATAGTGGGGTTTATTTACCAAAGTTGGAGACTGCAAAATCAGGCTCACTTCTGCATAGACACCAATCACCTCAGCTTAGTGAAACGAAGGTTATTCAGCAGATTGATCGTTAACCTCCTTGGCGGTGTTTTCCCGAGTGTAGCTCGGGGTAGAAGTTCTATACCAAGAACGGTAACCCCGAGCTACACTCGGGCTTACTATGCAGCGTTCTCTGGGGGTCCCTGCAGCACTTACCTTGTCCTTCGCTCCCACGATGTGTCCCCTGCAGCATCCCCGTCCATCTCCTCCGGCGGATGCCGGCATCTGACTTCCGTGTTCCGGTCCCCGTGACGTCGAAAAACGTTCGGGCGGCGGAACCGTCGGGAAATTTGAAATTTTTTAAAAAATGACATTTTTGCTGTCATTGCTTTTTCACTGCATTTCACATACATTGTGTCCCCACTGCTTTGTCCTGTGCCCTGCCTGCATTTTGACTGTTCTTTCTGCCTGGAAACTTAGAAAAGTCCATGGCGGCCAAAAAGCGTCCCTTTACATCAAAAGCGGTTTTAGAACAGCGATAGTAAATCAGAACCACTTGCAGAATTGAGTGATAATGATTTGTGGGGAAATTCGTCATCAGACACTGAAAACGATTTTGCGACTTTGCTCAGCGATGTGCGAATTTGCCTCTGTATTTCAAATTTCAGTGTTTTTGGTTTGATTACATTATTGAATTAAATTTATTATTATTATATTATTATTTTTTATGATTATTTATTAAATTATAATTTATGATTTCGTGTTTCAAGTTTTATCATATCCGGAATGTTTAATAGACTCTTTTTCGGATAGATTTCAGTGAGTTATTCCTAAAA